ATGTACACGCCTCCCAGCACGTGTAGAGGTTACTGGATCAGTGTTACTAGACGTGGCTCTTTTAGAAGGTTCAGGATACGCGCGACTAAACGAGTCTGTTAGGGAGTCCGGCGGCAAGGGTCTGGGTGTGCCTGTGGAGGTGTCGCACAATATTGACACTTCACTGTTCAGGAGCGGTAGACGCTGTATCTTCAGAGAGGATGAGTGTTGAAGTTTTTCAATCTCCTCGTCTGAATCCTGAAGTTCGGCAATCTTCCGTAAGTCGACTGCTCGAGGCAAAGTAGTGGTGCAAACGCGAGACAGTGCGTCCGCGACAGGGTTATTCACACCAGAAATATGACGGATGTCCGACGTGAATTGCGAAATATAATCTAGGTGACGTAATTCACGCGGTGAATATCTGTCAGTAGTGGTGTGTAAGGCATACGTCAGAGGTTTATGGTCGGTAAAGATGATGAAGTCACGACCTTCCACAAAATGACGAAAATGTTTCACTGAGGCATATATGGCGAGCAGTTCCCTGCCGAAAGTGCTGTACCGCATTTCGCAGGTGGATAACTTCCGGAGAAGAATGCAACTGGGATCCAAGTGTGATCCGAAAGTTGTTGCAACACAGCTCCAATGGCCGTGTTAGAGGCGTCAACCGCAATGCTAAGAGGTAGGTTTACGTCTTGATGCACCAGCATCGTGGCGTCTGCTATTGCGGTTTTGATCTTGCGAAATGCTTCTAGTGCCTCAGGAGTCAAGCTGAAAGTTTTACATTTACTTTTCAGCAGGTCGGTCAGTGCAGTCAAAATGTGTGCACATTGGGGAATGAAGCGACGATAATAGCTCACCATACCCAAAAACACACGCAGAGCTTTAAGTGACGCTGGGACTGGGAAGTCTTGGATCGCCTGTACCTTTTCAGGTAGTGGGCGAATGCCTTGCTCGTCGATAACGTGTCCCAAAAATTTTAGTGAACGAACGCCAATTGGCATTTGGCCAGGTTGACTGTCATCGAATGCTCTGACAGTCTGGCGAAAACCTGTTTCAAGTGGTTAAAATGGTGTCTTCGTCTGGACTAGCGATTAGTATATCGTCTAGGTAGGCATAGGCGAAATCGAGTCCACGTAAAACATCGTGAATAAAACGTTGGAAGGTTTGTGCTGCATTGCGAAGACCAAAAGGCATACGGAGGAACTCAAAAAGACCAAACGGTGTAATGACGGCTGTCTTGGGAACATCATCAGGATGAACCGGGATCTGATGATATGCACGCGTCAAGTCAAGCTTACTGAAGATAACCGAGCCTTTTAAAGATGCAGTCAAGTCGTGAATGTGAGGGACTGGGTAACGATCTGGAATCGTTTTAGCGTTGAGCCTTCGGTAGTCACCACAAGGCCTCCAGTCCATGCCATTGTTCTTGGGTACCACATGCAAGGGTGAAGACCATGGACTGTTGGATGGTCTGATTATTCCCATTTCAAGCATGTGTTCGAACTCGGCTTTTACAGCACGCAGTTTCTCCGGGGATAATCGCCGTGGTTTCGCAAATACTGGAGGGCCAGTCGTCGTTATGTGATGAGAAACGTTCGAAGTCACACAAGGGACACAACGACTTGGCTTAAAGACATCCGGAAAGGACTGAATGATAGACGCATAGGGACTAGAAGCGTCCGTCGTGCAGTACACGGGACTGAGGGGCGGCGTCTTTGTGACTATACCGGAAACAGAGAGTGTTGTGGTAGAATCTATCAACTTATGCTTGCCAGCATCTACCAGCAGCTGATAGTGCTGCAAGAGATCCATACCAATAATGCCGGTGGTCACATCTGCCACTATGAAAACCCAACGAAAGGGACGACGCAATCCAAGGTTGAGATCGAGGAATCTCCGACCATAGGTTGTGATGGGCGAACCGTTGGCGGCACGAAGTTGCAGAGACATTGGCCGCAGACGCTCTTCCTTCGTAGGTGGGATGACGCTAGCTTCTGCCCCAGTGTCAACTAGGAAGCGTATCCCAGAATGTCGATCAGTGACGAAGAAGAGGCGACATGGAAGTGGCTCGCCAGCGACGTTAGTCGCCGTCACGTGCTGGCTCACACGTTTCCCGCCTGGTTAGCCTCGAAGGTGCAAGGTCGAGTGCACTTTTGGCATTGGCACCATAACGTTTATGGTACCAGCACAACCTGGGTTGGGATTGTCGCGATTTGGAACGTCTGCTACGGTACGGGAGGCAGACCTGTTGCGCGAGCGAGACGTGCGACCTTTGTAAGAACTACCAGACCGCATTTCGTTCCTGATGCTGCACAACTCTTCATACAATTTTGAGATGTGAGTTATAACATCGAAACTTGTTGGCTCAACAGCCGAGGGAGGATGTGGGCTTTTGAACGAATCCGTGGCAGTAGACAGTGCAGCTGAGATACTAGTGTTGGGTTTCGTAGCATCCACAGCTCTGTCAGCCGCTTCCGCCAACTCTATTAAGGGACACTTATGGAAGGGTGCGAGGATCCCTTGAACCGACTGTGGTAACCTCTGTAACCACAGTTGCTTGAGAAATGCTTCATCAATGTTGAAGTCAGCAATCAGCTGCTTCATCTGACGAAGCAGTTGCGTCGGCTTGCGATCACCCAGATGCACATCCCTGAAAAGTTCTTGCACTTTCTGCTGGTCAGTAAGTGCAACACGTTTGATGAGGGCGGTTTTGAGGCGATCGTAAAGATTCGGTGCTGGGTCATCTAGCACATCTGAGACGTCTTCAATCACATTTTCCGGTAAGCTGACGATGACTAAGTTGGACTTAGTTTCTTGTGATTGAATGTGTCTCAAGGCAAACTGAGCTTCCACATGGGAGAACCATGCAGATGGTCTGTGGGCCCAGAAGGTGGGAAGCTGGAGGGTTACGGCCATCTGCGCAGTCGAGTCGTTATCCGCCATTGATCAGGGAATTAACGAGGCACGATAGTGATAATAAAAAAATTACAATGCAAAAATAACCAATGAGGAGTGCAATAATATAAAAAAAACGCTAGACGTGCCAAAAACAAAATTAGGCCAGACAAATCAACGCAAGAGAACAAAGGTACTAGACAAAATAAGAAGTGATACTCGGGCTCACCAATTTTTGTAGGGATGCGTGTTACAATTCCGTAACGTTTGATCAACCCTACTTAATTTGATGTGCTCTAGTACCTGCTTAACCAGTACTTTACCTAACGTGTAAGTACTGGTAACAAAACACAAATCAAAAGAACTGATACGCAATGTATTTAAAGGAGCTATGTATTTAAGGTAAATGTAATAATAATGAATGAGGGAAAAGTTTAATCAACTTATCTGGCTTGTAAGGCTGAACTAGGGACTCGGAGTACGTGCGTGGTGATCAGCACAATGGAGCGCAAAAATGGCGTCCAAGCCTGCTCGGATGCATGCTCGTTAAAACAAAACTTAAAACACCCTAAGCATCCGGAGGCAAGCTAGAGATTTATTTAGTTAATTTAATTTAAACTATTTATTTTAGCCCTAGTTATATTTTGGTGCCAGGAAGGTGCACTACATAACTTTGAAGCGAAGCGATCGGTTGGGAAAGGTTTTAACGATTTACGGCTACTTATGAAGATTTTGGTGTTCTTATTGCTCACTAAAACACAAACCAGCATCAACTATATTAGCACAAAATCATTCAGAAATAGTCGTTATAGATTATTCAATTAAGTAAACTGTTTTAAAGTGGGCGAGTTTTGCTTGGAGGCGAGCCTCTGTGGGAAAACATTTATCTTTTCTCCCGAATATGATTACAACATTTATCTCAGAGAATGCAACGTAACCAGATATTTGTAAGTAATTTTGAGGAAATCTGTTTCACTAATCTTTAACAAGGGCGAGAACATACTATTTCGGATTTGTTTCCGTACTCTTTTAAGAGCCGGTAGTGTCAAAAATGCGTTCAGAAATTCGCCAACTAACAAAGAACACAACAGTGCTAGTTATCTTGATGTAACCTGGCGCCGTATCCAGTAAGATGTTGAAACACAAATGCTAGTAATTTATTAGTTGTTGGTAGAGGATTTTGAAGCTTAGTTTATCCAGTTAGCTTCTGTTTCACAAGAGGAATGTTTGACAGACCCTCTGAAAAATTTACATAAGATGAGATATTTATATATGCAAGGAATAATTTTTATTTAATGGTCACTGTACTAATAGCATACTGTCTCAATAAAAAGCGTTTCCTCTGGTAATAAGAAGACTAAAATTCTAAGACCAAATTTTTGCATTCTTAGACTTATAAGTTTCAAGGTAATTTATGGTATAAAGGCCTAGATTATCTCTGAGTTCACTAAAGACGGTAAAAAGTGTTTGAGATTTATTTCTCTTCCACTGGGTTATAAATAACATACCAGTAATGCTCTTACAGCAATCGGAACTGCTTGTGCTTCACATCATGCAGATAATTTACACATTGTTTATTTCTGACTAGATACCGTTGCCTTGTTCTGCGATTTACAACTAATGCTCTCAGAATACTTAGGTATAATTTCATCAAAATGTACGATAAATTTTCTTCTCAAAAGCAGAACTAACAGCTGAATGGAGAGAGTAATATCTATATGAAACAAGTATATTACACATGTGTCAAATAGGAACACTCAGATCTCAACATAAAATACTGAAAATGAATTTTGCAAAATGCATAAGGTTACTCATACGTAGAAATAAGTAGTATACAACGAAACTGCTAAATTATTAGTATTATTGAATTAACTTTTCAGATCACAAAAATTATACAAATCGACCATAGAATAGTAGACATTGTATATTTTATCTCATCAATCTCCCGCCTTTTATGTGAAACGTGTCTACATTGTAATGCGTTTAACTACAGGTGTGTGCGTAATAATATTTGATAATTCTTAGTTAAATAATGAAGGATGATTTAAAGCCAAGTAAAACTTCTTGACGTTGATAGTCTATCGCTATTTTCAGCGTACTTCACAAATGAACATCATTTTTTCTTATCAATCGACTGGAGGTAATGGGCCTTTATTTGTTCGACGTCGTGCTGCATCAGATTTGCTTTGACCAGTATTCTGTGCTGATGAGTTTGGTCGATCAGAACCTTTTCTAGTGAAATGGACTGATAAGTTACTGGACTTCCTTTTAGGCGAGGTCACATTGTGTGGTTGTTCTTCAAGAGAATTCGTGTCAGCCGGTGAGTCTCCAGTTCCAGATTGGTGAGTTTCAGACTTTTGAGCACCACTTGTTATCGTCTTTCCAGCCATCGCTTTTATTTCTTCAGGTTTGAGTAAAGAGGCCAGTCTAAAAATAAAGAATGAAACAGAACACTTTCCGTTTTACTTTACTAAAGCTTCAGATAATATATCCTATGGGCTTCGGATTAATTTAAGAGCAACAGAAAAAGCATTCGTCTGTGTCTATTAGTCATTGGATGGCAACCCATTTAACCGTTAAGTCTGAGGTGCTGAGCAAATATAACTGGTCAAGTGATTTTTGTTCCTGAATAGAGAAACCTTGGAATTTGCTATTAAATGACGTAATTTAGATTCCGAGACAGCATACGAATCCATAAGTTCACACTTGTATCTAACAGTAAGCATGAAACCTAGATAAATTATTACATTATGGGTCATACAAAACTTCTATTATTGGAAGAATGTATCTGTTAGGTTTTCAGAGTATTGGCTTGAAATACGAGAGATCTCTTATATTCAACGTGAAATGACATCGGTTACAAAGTCACTAAAAGTTGTGTCTGTCAGTAGTAATACAATTGGAGTCCATCACTTACGTACATATTTATTTATTTAGTCTAGGTTCTTCATGTTGCGGAGCTTAGAAGTCTATTTAATTCACTGATTATTCAGACATAACGATCTTCTTATGGCATGTTAACACAACAAGATTTTTTTGTCGACTCATGTATCAGCGGTTAGGAAATAAAGTTCATGAATGGTGAAATTCAAAGGATTTACTTGAAATTATTTGTCAAAAAATAACACGACTGAAAAGTCTTTGCAGATGAAACACTCAGACTCCTGTACCAACAAGTCAAATACATGGCGTAAATGACAGTCAGGGAAATGATTTGGAACGACATTCTATGTATTGCTACAATTTAGTTGAGTTAAATGATATAGAGAGACAATCAGAGAATATTCCAAATTTAATTCAGTTTCATCATCTGACTATTGCTTCGATGTAACTAGATATAACTTAAGTATTCTAACCAATAATGAGCCTTTGAATGATCCCTTATTCACACCGTTATAACAGTAGATGACTAAACTATTTTCTTGGCGCTAGACTGATTTTACAAAAGCATTTATCATCAGATGATGATGTTGGAAGTAAAGGCTAGAAAAACTCACCAAGATAACTGATAACTGTATCCGTATACTTGAATACTAACTCAACTGAAGTTAAAAAGGATTAAAATAAGCAGGAATCGATAAAAAAAAGGAAGTTTACTTTTATCAAAATATGCTCGATAAGTAATTGCATCCTCTAGTTGAAGAAGTTTTTATAAGACTTTGAAGTGACAGTGGCAGAGCTCATAGTTCTTATCATCTGAGCTGAGTGGATCTTTGTCAATAAAACATATACTCATCGCCATTGAACTATTACTGACAGATACAACTCATTCATCGATGCATATTTCTCGAGAAAATATGACTTTTATGAGTTATTTATTGATGTCTAAAGCACTCTAGTTGGAAGGTTAGTTCATCTACACACAAATGATTTGTGAATGATAAGAATGAAAATATTTCGTGTTCATCAGGATGCCAGGTATTAATTTCCATCTTTCTCCCATTAATCCATAGATCAACTTCAAATTTACTCGTCGATTTCCGTAGTGTTCAGACAAATTTAGTGGAGTCGACTGTTTCATTCCTAACATCTGCATGGTGACAGAGGAAAACATCACCTTGAACTTAAAAAGTCCCCAAAAACTGTCAAAGACTTTACGGTTCAGTGAGTATTAGTGACAAGTTTCGAGATGATGCATCACGAAGATCTGAAGAGAAGTTGTGATTATTGTGCATGGACGAAGTTTGACGTGTGGATAAATAGTCAACGGTGGGATTGGATGGAGTTCGTGCTGTACGGTGAGTTGAGAGAAGTGGGAGAATGTGTGGCAGTGAATTGCAAACCATTGGCTGAATGGTGGCATGCTTGGTGTGTGATCGGAATTTTGTTGAATACATCGCTGATGGGGTTATGAGTGTACAATGTTGAGGATTTTCATACTAGAATAAGACAGCTTTTCACTGATCCCAGGTTATCGACAGTTCTGCAATAGATTTCATTCCATTATGACTTATATACCCCCTACAGACCTCGTTACTTAATATACTAGTTACGTTATGTGGTAAGGTGGTATAAAATAGACAAGGAACCATGTATAGTGCTAAGTACTAAAATTTGATACGTTGGAAGTGGATTGTTAGCATAGTTTTTGAAATAAGTTCACTATCATGCCTAGAAAATAATCGTTCACTTAAAAACAGTTACTTTCATCAATCTCATAAGAACTACAGTGTACTGACTGATAAAAACCGAATGTATTTCTGTCAAATTATCATTAGAAACGGAGGGTAGGTAAACCTGGAATACTTTAGAAGTATTACAGTCAACATATTATCGAATAAAACTGATTTGTTGTATTGTTAAAAAGGGGGAATTTAATCGTTGAATCTAGGATCCCCCATCGTGTTTCAATGATTATTATAACGTTGACCTATAAGCTTTATCTCACAGTAGTTAGTTGCCAGATCAAGGTATGGAGGTCCAATTAGCCAAAAAGTGTATATAATACGGTTAAAACGTGTCTTACAATATTTACCTGAAATAAAAGTTCAAATATCTCATGAGTTTCCTGTTTCACGTACACTCAAATAAAAATCATATATCTGCGTCTAATGCCAGTTGTTTCTTTAAAATCCCTTCACGCTTCACTTATGTGAATATTCCTGACGACAACCACGAGCACACTCATTAAGTGGCTAACATGATGTCCCCAAGAGCATCGATGGCTCTCAGGCTGTGGGGACAAATCTCCTCCTGCAGAATCACAACAGGAAGATTCAACTCGAAAGGAAGGAAAGTTACGATCATACAGTGCTACGCTACGCATCTACAAATAATGCAGATCAAGTGGAGAGGGAGGAATTCTACAGACAACTGAAATCAGTACTGGACAACACCCAACCCAAGTTGGCGACATCAAAATCCATTCTAATGGGTGGGGTGACATGAATGGCAGACTCGGAGAGGACAACACAGTGAGATGACTCATTGTGGGTCGAGAAGCACTCGGTGAAATGGACGAGAATGGAGAATTGACTGCAGACTTCTGTGCATTCAACGATTTGTCGATTGGATGCACTGTGTCCAAACACAAGGATATTCACAAAGCGACATGGACTTCACCATTCACCAGATGGACACACTAGGAATCAGATCGACTTCATCTCAATGTGAGGAAAGTGGAGACGCAGCCAGCCTGCTGGATACAGGATCGGATCAGATCAGATCAAGAAAGGGAGTGGATGTAGGTCCAGACCACTATCTAATTCAAAGAACGTTCAAAATAAAGTTGAAAGCCTTCAAGTAAGTTAGTGATAGACGACCACAGTTCAAGTTGAACACCCAGAGTGGAAGGTGAAGGACGAAACAACTACAAAGGACATCTCTTCACGTCAGTCATCAGGACAAAATGGGAGACACTGAGCAACATCTCTGAGTAAACCTGTGTGTATAAACACTGGAACTACTTGGAAGAGATGTTTAAGTAAACCTTCACAACATCATTACGAAGTAAGAAGAAAGAAGACAAGGCAAGGAGTGGATCTCGACAGACACATGGAAGCTGATGTAGAGGGGAGAGGAGGATGGTGAAGTAGAAGATAAAGGAGTGCAAGGATGAACGACGAGAAGAGGAACTGAGTACAACGTATGGAAGACTACACTGGACAAAGAGGTGAGGAGGAGTGCGCGGAAAGACAGGAGACAGTTCTGCAACACATTGGCAAGTGAAGCAGAACAGGCTGCAGGTAGGAGAGATGGATACCTGACGACATTATATCAAATAACCAGGTTACTATCTGGGGGGGAGGGTGGAGGGTGGGAAGAGGTCAACTCGGATGAAAGATAGTGAGGGGAAGCCTGTTACCGAGGAAGAGGAACAAAAGAAACGATGGATTGACCACTTCGAAAAGCTCTTGAATCGACCACCACCTGCACTTCGACCAGAAATACCACCAGCAGCTCAACCACAGGACTAACAGTGAACTGAAGCACTCCGACGAGAGCAGAATTGAAGTCCTGAACGTCATGAGGTTACTGGAATCCGTGAAGGCTGGAGGACCAGATGGAATTCCTCCAGAAGCACTGAAACCGATGCAGAGACATCAGTGGACATGCTCACACCATACGACCATTGCAGAAAGTTTGGAAGAAAGGAAGGAAGGAAGGAAAGGTACCTGTGGTTCGGAAGAAGGGCTATCTCGTCAAACTCTCAAAGAATTTCTGACCTATGTCTTTGCAAGAACTGGAGTGGAATCATACTCCTGTCCACCCTAGGTGAGCACTGATACGGAAGATGAGATGGCCAGAATAATGAGAATGATTAAGAAGGATCTGTGGTTTGCTGGCAACGAACCAACCAAGAACCCATGCATGACCCAACAAATGTGGAGAAGGAAGTGGATATGGATTGGATTGTGGGTACAGTGAGAAGACCGTCTGTGGACATCACGCGCCAGACCAGGTCATCGAGTGTAAGCCGAATGTGAAAAGACGAGTTGGGCGTCGATGCCTAGGATGACAGGGAGGAGGTGGTGTGAAGAAGAAATGAAGGGTTGTGGGGAGTAGTGGAGCGAGGTTGAGAAGACCTCAGAGAGGAGAGTGAAATGGAGACGTGCAACTGAAGCCCTGTGTTCCACTAGTATCCCAAGGATAAATAATAATATGTGGGTATTCGGTTTTCAGAAAGGAGGGAAATCTATCTTCACTTTTATGTTTTTACATTAGAGATCTTTAGATGGAGATGGGAAGCAACTTTTACAGTTGGCAACTAATGGATAGGACTATATTTGTTGTCGATGGAGTGATATGTTTCACTCGCAGGTGATGTTAACTTCAAAATATGTTAAGCAGAGTAGGAAAATGGAGTGTCTCTGCTTATGAAAGAAACATACTTTTACAATCCTAAGGAAATAGAAATGTATGTTTTTGATGTCTAGTGATTTCAGAGGTCATCTCTACAGAGGAGTAAACCAGTACAACTTGTCATATATATATTCATTCAATAAAATAGAACACATTGTATATTTAAGCTGCGCAAAATGGCATCCAAATAATCTTATGAAACCGGAAGATTCTCAGGTAGAATCCATAATAGCTGTTCATGCTGCCCGCAACAACCACATAGTTGACATTATCACACTATGCACACATTATCAAAGTGCAATCCTAAAGCGGATACTTAACACTGCTATAAGAAGGTGATTCGGTCACTAGAAACGACTAAGCTCATGTATTCTCCCAAACCCTTACAGAATGTGAACGACAGTGTTACATCTCATTTCATTTA